GAGACGGGGTTTCACCATGTTGACCAGGATGGTCTTGATCTCTTGACCTCGTGATCCACCCGCCTCGGCCTCCCAAAGTGCTGGGATTACAGGCTTGAGCCACCGCGCCCGGCCTAAAAAATTCTTATGATAATCCTGCACATGGTGATAATTTCTTTTTCTTTTTTTAAATTTCCTTTTTAACGTAATTACCACTTAATTTTTTTTAAATTTATTTATTATGCTTTAAGTTCTGGGGAGGGATAGCATTAGAAGAAATACCTAACGAAGATGGTGGGGCAGTGGATGCAGCAAACCACCACCATGGCACATGAATACCTGGGTAACAAACCTGCATGATCTGTGCGTGTGGCCCAGATAATTTCTTAAAGTGGATATTTTTTAAATCATAAGGGGAAAGATTTTTAAACTAAATTAATACTCAAGGTCATGTGAATTGGTTGATAAAATTCTTCTGGAATTTGTGTGGGAAACTTAAATGCACATAGTCTGACCGTTGACAAAAGCAGAATATGCCTTTGAGCATGACATAGTACAAAATGGACAGTTTGGGAGCCAGAGCTGCGTTCAAACTTAGGCTCCACCTAGAAGAGTGATTTTGAGTGTATTTCAACTCTCTGAGTTTTGGTTGTTTAACCCATAAAATAGAAATAATAAGACCTCTTTATTGGGTGACTGCAAAGATTCAATTAGACTTGGATATGGAAAGTGTCTCAAGCTCAAATATTAGTTTCTCTTTCCCTAACTGTGTTTCTTGTTTCTATGAGAACATTACTCAGACTTGCAAATTAAGTCATTTAAGATTTACCCAACATAAAATTGGCCACTTAGCGATTTTGAGAACATATGTGTAGAGCAGGGCTAATCTATGTAATATTTTTTATACCAGCAGGTTGACCTTCGTAATTCTGTTTTCTCCTAATTGACATAAAAAAGCATTTGGTATTAGTGTTCCCCAACTTTTCATTAATTATAGTGGGAGAAGATATCCAAGGGGCCAGTGAGAGTGGGAATTGACCAAAGAAATTACTGGGGATAATATAATATTGACCAAAGAAATTACTGAGGATAAAATAATTACTGGAGCTTCTGCTCTTACAAAAAGAGGAAGGGAAACTACTGCAAAAATAGTGTCCTGAATTTTAAGAAAATGACCATCCACAGCGACCAATGGGAATCAGTTATTCCTTGATGATCTTTTCCAGGCTGTCTGGCCATGGGTCACCTGTTTTAGGCCTTCCCAAACCCTACCCTCCAGCCCCAGCACATCCTTGATTTCCCTCACTGCTAGAAAATTTCTCCTGTTGCTGAATCTCAGTCCATCCCATTGAAGTGGAGGCCCTCCGATTCTGGCTGACATTCATTTCCCTCTAGGGCTATTTGTCAAGGAGGGGGTGAGTAGGGACTTAATGGCATGCTTTCCTTAACAATCTTCCAAACCTATCATCTGGGACAGGGTTTATAAGCATTCATCAACAACACCCTAGCAAAGTAGGTTAGTAGGATGAGCCCACTACCTGTTTAGGAATCTGGAAGGCTAAGACACTTTTATCAAGACTCAGGGGTTTTAAACCCAGTTCCTTCTATCCACATGGCCTTCAGTAAGTTGCACAACTGTTCTGGGTGTCTATCTTCTTCTTGCCTTCCTTCCACACCCACCACTGTCATCTCTGTTGGCAGAATGAAGGCTGAGCTTTGCCTGACTTCCCACAGAACTAATTAAAGTCTACAAAGTACTTTGAGAACATTCAGTGTGGGGTTCTTGCCAAGACAGAATTACAGGTGGGAATGGCAAGGAATGGGATAGGTAAAACTGGGAAAGTTGAGCTTCTCTGAGGAAGGCTCCAATTAGCCTCACTCCACTGTGAATCTTCAAGTTTTTTCTCTCCTGTCTGCTCAGCTATTGTGCAGAAGAGTCCCCTTCTTTTCCCCTGTCAAAGAATCAGATACGAGACAACCTGGGAGCTGAGTTCTGCAATCTTTTCATCTCAAAATCACACAGACTGCTTCAGACAATACTTGTCTTAGGAAAAGGAAATAGTGGAATTAAATCTGAGCCTGGAACAAACCCCTCTGATGCAGGATGCTTCCAAGTGTGGTTGCTTAGGGATTGCTCTTGAGCTTCTTCTCTACCATGGCCTTGATGTGGGCACTTCTGGGGAGGGGGATTAAAAACTTCCTCTGAAGAGTCAGGTCCTGCCCAGGAGGAGTTTACCTGTGACGACAAAATACACACAATAAAAGCAACCTAAGAACATTTACAAAGCAACACATTAATATAGGCAAATAAACTAGCATTGGAGGGATTAAGGGTAGACTGCAGAAGAACTTCCTGCCACAACAGATATTGTGGATTCTCCTCTGCTTGGTAGGTTTAGGAATACCTCTGTAGGAAAACAAGAATCTTTTACCTTTAATATTCCTCATTCATGTTACAAAAGCCTCAGTCTTTGGAGTCTTTTAAGTATATTCTGCATTTAAACAGGTCAGCTGTACCTTGGGTATTTTTCCTTTTCTTCTCTCACCGTTCTGTAAACATTTTCTGGCTCCATTTCTCCCATTTCCATATTCTGAATGGCAAAGGCTTTCTGCTGCCCACTATCCGAATCAACACATCACCCTGTGGGACACATGGAATCAGCCAGCATTCTTGCAGGTGAAGATGAGCAGGATGGGTAGATACACTTTAGCACATGTCTCAAATGTACAAATGGCAGGACATCGTGAAGCCAGAAGGGGGAGGGGTGGGAGAAGCATCTAAACTCTCAAGAATTCATCTCCACATCTTTTAAACTAAAGGCTTTCTTTTCTTTTCTTTTCTTTTTTTACTGGCTGCTTGGAGTTTATTTTCTGCTTGGTGCCAGGTTCACAGTTCCAGGTGTCAGGAAAGTTTGTAAGTGCTGAGCCCAGGGCCGGGGCCATAGACAGCGGAGCCCTCAGTCCTTTATAAACCAAAGACTTCTGACGCTTTTCACTGTTTTAGGGAGGGTTCTCTGTGGTCTCAATTATCCATACTTCTGGTAGCAAACTATGACACTGAGAGCCAAAACAGGAGATTTCAGATATAACACAAGAAGGTGCTCCCTGAGGGGTCTGACCAAGCAAGAAGGGTTTCTGTAAGAGGAAGAAGCATTCAGAAGGTTTGTTTCATTCTAGACCTCACCAAATGTTGAGTGAAGAGATGGCTGTGCCCAAGGATGCAGGACAACAGGAGCATGTGGGGCTAAGATGAAACATTCACTGCAAATCACTCCAAAAATAACACACCAAATAATGACAAAAATGAACACACGATATTGGGGAAATGGTCAACTCTTGCCAGGATTATAGCCTCAACATCAGAAGAAACAAGGGAAAAATAACTCTAGTTTGGGAAAGGGAAGGAGATTATGGAGATAACTCCTAGTGCCAGGCTCATTCTGAAGCTGTGGTTTCAGGCCAAGAGTGTGTGTGCTCAAACTTGCAAAGCTCATGCCTGTAGGCTTGGAAGAGAAGACTCCATTCAATGTGTGGATTCAGTTAAGCCTAACAGGCCCAATTTTCTCATCCAGGCTTTAAGGTTCTCTCTTCTCTTTTACCACCTTCAAGGTACCCTAATGTTCCTGACCATCTCTTTTCTTCAGACCACATATAAGGCTTTTTAGCCTCCACTGGATGCACTTAAGGAAAGTAGACAAACTATATCTTAATGCAAAGCAAGCTCCCCTGATGTAGAGGATTAAATAACACATTTCATGAACTAGAAATGGCAGATGGACCAATTACAATTATCTGATGCCTGAGCAGGGGTCCTGCCCTAAAGGCTTCTGTGGAATTCAATAATGTGAAAGAATATCAGGTCTGGTAAGAGGTGCTTACAGTCTAAGTAGAGAAACAAAACATAAAGACACACAAGGAACAATCGCAGAGCTCACATAAACCTAGGCAAAATTATGCAGTACATACTGAAAAAGGACAGATGGAGGCTGGATTTAGCTCTATTCTCCTTACCTACGCTTTTGATCATTCACTCACTGTGAGCCAGGCACAGTGCTAGGAGGTGCTCTATATACCTTCTTTACTATTTTTTTTTTTTTTTTAGACAGAGTTTTGCTCTTGTTGCCCAGGCTGGAGTGTAACAGCATGATCTTAGCTCACTGCAACCTCCACCTCCTGAGTTCAAGCGATTCTCCTGCCTCAGCCTCCTGAATGGCTGGGATTACAGGCATGTGCTACCATGCTCGGCAAATTCTGTATTTTTAGTAGAAACATATTTTCTAGATGTTGGTCAGGCTGGTCTCGAACTACTGGCCTCAGGTGATCCACCTGCCTCAGCCTCCCAAAGTGCTGGGATTACAGGCATGAGCCACCACACCTGCCACCTTCTTTTCTTTTAATCCTCACAAACCGTGTGATAGGTATTATTAGCATTATTTCAGACATAAGATTAAGTAACTTGTTTAAGTAAACAGGAGAATTAATTGAAACTGCTCTGGGTTAAAACCCAAATCTATGTGACTTGAAGTAGGTGCCCATAACCCCCACTCCATATTGCCTTCTTCTTCAGAATAACTTTCTACCTTGAAAGAAGTTATGAACTATGTTTGCTTGAGAAGAGTTTGGACAACTTAGAGGTGGTGTTGTGAAAGGAAGGGAATGAATGATATGAACTGCTATCCTTCAGTTTCCTGAGTGGACCATCTAGTTCTAGGCTGAGGAAAACCATAAAAACCACAAGCTCAAGAGATGCTAAGGTTGCACAAGCTCCCAGAGGCCTTGGGCTGAAACATACTTGGAGAGGTCATTCTGCTGCTTCCACGTTTAAGACTTTAGACTCCACAGGATTCATGTTAGGAAGGTGAATGAACTACATTTTCATACAGAGCAAGCTCCCCTGACACAGATCATATAATACATTTTAGGAATCTCCAGATTGATTAGTTCCTCCCAACTTAGCTTTTACTATTTTACTAGACTCTAAAATTAATAGAAAAGAGTGTTCTGGGGACCTTTGGCATTAGCTTTCTGGCATGACAGCTTTTCCATATGTCTAGCTTCAATCCTGGCTCCTGCAAAATATACATTAGAGCTTTACACCCAACCCACACTCTGTAGAGTATAAAACTATATAAAATGGTCATAGCCCTCCAAGAACTTATGCCCTCATGTGTGGATAATTACAACAAAGGCAAGATTCAATATGTGAAGAGTGTGAAAAGAGCTTATAGTCCTTAGTACCAAGATCCTCTTTGGTCAATATTTACCCAGATGCTCACAGAGCCACAAACTTTTTGAGAAAGTTTTAAGCAAAAAGGTGGGACATTTGAGTCTTAGGCTCAATGTGTACTTCTAATCCCCCCTCTCCTGGGATTCATGGAACATTTACTGAGCACTTATGATGTGCCAGGCACTGGGAATGCAGAGATAGCTATGATATAAGCCTGCCAGCAAGGAGCTCACATACATGCCTTTATCAGAGCTGGGAGCCACATCCTACCCAACACATCCAATCAACTTCAGCAAGGTGCTTAACTTGAGAGTATGGGGCAGAGTGCAGGGACTAATGCTAATAGTGCTGAGTCAACAGTTTATCCACCCACCCCCGCAACACTTCCTCAGAAAGTGGGAGACTTGCAAGAAATCACATGAGTTTCACTAATCCCCCACCAATAGTACCCACTGCATTACTGGCCTCATTACTTCTTAATGGGACTTTGTTGATTACAGACTGCTTAATTACAGTGACAGACTCCCTTTTGGTTGGGGGGCCCTGAGGAAAGAAAATGAGGGTAAGAAGGTTAGTGGGGAGGGGGGATTATGACTGTTGGCAATCCTCCACCTCCCACCCACTGCTCTGCCATCCAGGGCAGGAGCTAGTGTGAGAAAGGGATCTCTGAACAGCCATATTGTTTCTTCTTTCCTGCCCCCCTCACACTAATAGAAGCCTTCAGATCTGTTTTCCTAATACAGGTTTCTTCATTCAGCTTTGAAAATATGTTAATCAGAAAGAAACAGCAATATCATGTCACTTTTTTTTTTTTTTTTTTTT